AGCTGGCTGGAGCCTTCATTCCTTGTCTATATTTTACACTAGATACCAGCCAATACCCCCCCCCCCCGCTCATAGGGAGTGCGCACAGTTGATCATAGTTCCTGGGCTTCCTGTGGTTACTAAAAAAGTAACCGTGCGTTTTAGCGTTATCTTTTTTCGGGCGCCATAGTTTTTATCATTTTTGTTGATAACTTTTGAACAAACTGTAGGCTTCATTAATAATTCGAAAAACAAAACAATATTAAAACAGTTTTGATACGAGTTTGATTTTGTGAAAGTTTACAAGAAAGGTACAATTTGGCGTTTACAGTGTGAAACAAGGAGTGGATATGACTGTAGAAATAATGCCAGTTTTTGTTTTAATAACGAAGACTTTACTTCTCGGTGCTCGACTGCACTCGCTAACTTTCTGTCAGTACGGAATACAAATTATCATTGGAATATGCCAGCCTAAGCTTTCGTCACGAGGAAACGCAATTAATTTGCAAATAGTAACCAAATTTGGATACACGTTTTTAAATTGAATAGTGGCAACATTATATTACATTAATTTCATAATGTCCTACTTAATTGCACTCTAAGTGCATCGTTTTACTTCGATTTGATGGAAGTAGCCATTAAAAGCGAGGTCGAATTATGGCAAACGGAACCCACGATGCTGAAAGCCGGGCTGTTATCTCGTATTAGTAATGCTGATGCTATTAACGGGTATTCCGGAGTCAAAAGTCCGACACAAAAATTGGACAGCGAAAAGCAATTTTGGTGAGGATGTAGCAGACATAACCCTGTGAATTTCACGAAGGCATGAATGACTGTTTTATATAACATAATGACATTTATAAATGTTTTATAAATTTAGAATGACGGTTGAAAACAACTTGACAAATCACAACGCGTTAATTGCATAACACTAAATCAATGATTGAACAAAACTCGCAAAGTATCATGATGGGTAATGGGGGGGGGGGGGCGTCCCGAATAGATTTTATAGTCGAGTGTATTCATTGGTTATGAATGAAATGCGAAGGTCTTCCAGAGTAACATATTTTATGAATATTGTTTAAATTTTCATATAACAAATATTTTATGAATATTTTATAAATTTTCATATACATAATCATACATCCATGAATTTATTGTATTGAACTGAAATTCATAGATGTTTTAAAGCTGATTTTATGTGGTAAATGCTCGTTTTAGGTGGTTGGGCAGTTTTGCTACCGAAAACAAATCTCCCTCTTTTTAGCACCATAATAGAACACGTCCAGTATCTTTCAAATGATCGGGAATACACGACAGACTGCGCATGCGAGGAGATTTGACATTCTATGGCGGTCATTGACCTTATAAAGAAAGAGAAATGAAAACAACAGAACACAACGTCATGCAATGTTGAAGCGGGGAGTCGTCACTTGCGCATGCGTCAGATGACCATAGCGTGTCATTGTTTACAAACAAGCGTCTACCCATGAGCCTTCGCGTTTTTACGTGTGTTGTTAACGTTGCTTGGGTCTCAATTCTTGCGCATGCGCAGGTGAGGACCCTCCCGCTTTTATATCATTACCTTACGTCATATAAATTAATATATACTGATGAAATTGTTTGCATCTCAATATTTAATACTGTCTATACTCATAAATCGAGCGTTGTATGTTCACGCTACCCCGGATGTAGCCTCAAGTAGTAAATACATGTACACAAATACATCAGTCACTTGTGGGAATATAAAACTATAAAAATCTATACAATATTCTGTTTACCATGGCAACAAGTCAATAATTACTCATACGTTATGTTACAAAAAAACAAAACTACAGTGGAATATGTCTAAGCTAATCACTTGGACGTCTGGCGCGAACGAATTTGTATTGGGTACTTGTTTTGGCAGGTATTGTGTATTAGAGTGCGCCCTCACTGGCAATTCAACATCTCGCCATTTTGTTTTACGTCCAATGTCATAAGCTACGTAAACTCTGATTGGGCGCATGTTGTACTGGTACGTCCAATCAGATATATTTATTTTACCAAGGTCAACGTCTCGATAGAGCTATTTACGCGTTCGTGACGGAATTTATTTACTCCGAGTAGGCGAAACACATTATCATTGAGACAAAACAAGAATCTAAATCCCACTTGTTTTGTTTGTTTTGATTTTAGCTAAAATTTGTTTTGAGCATTTGTTATGCAGAATTGTGGTACAATTAGATGAACTCCGTTGTGGCGCCCTCTCGCAGCAAGCATTTTTGTTCATCTACGTCATATTTATCCGCCATTTTGTCGTCTTTGGCCGAAGTTTGTCGTTATAAAACCACTAATATAAATCTCCAAGTTCTCTTTTGATATAACACAACCAAGTGTTAGCTGATAAACGTTCAGCTTTTATTATCGTGAACTCCATAAATTTTAGTAATCACGAGACGTTGGCCACGTGAGTCGTGAACGAACTTCGAAACGAACCTGCAGCGCCACTGGCGTAATCGCACAACATCATGATACTCGCACGCTTAAAATGCGCAAATGGTCTAATACAGACGGTGGTTTATCTGATATTCACCCGATGTGTCCGAAATATAAAAAAGAAAAATTCATCACATATCATTATTATAAAAATTGAAAACTAAAAATGTCAACAAATCTATAAAGCACTCTAAAATTAATTTTTCGGTAATTATCAAATATTTCTGAATAAAATACATTCTATTGAATTATGAATTACAAGATAGACACATATATAATATAAATTTTCCATCAAAACAGCGATGAAGACAAATGATTCAATAATTTACAAAATATGAAAATGAAAAACGGTATAGTAATAATCTATATTAGATATTTCAAAATGTATTCCTATAAAAATATCTAGTTACTTGTTGTAAAATTCTATGATAACGAGACTTTTTTGTAATCGTAAACTAAAAACCGCTAGCTACCTCTATACGAGAACAAATAAACTAGCCGAGAGCGTTCGTAACTAAAATATCCATGATACAGCCACTCTCGTCTACTGAACACGACGCAGGTACAAAAACGTCACAGAAAAATGAAACGTACAACCTAGCTTTTAATAACCTAATTTCCAGCGATGATGTTCACTCATCAAGACTAGAACTAATTAAAATAATAATTAATTATATATACAATTTAATAATTCAAGTATAGTACTATATTCTGCATTCCCTGCTTGTGAGTGTTTGATAATATTTGGCACACGTTTAAAGCCTGAGTGACGGTAAAAATAGATTAAAGCGGGGGTGTCGTAGTCTCCTGCGCATGAGTCAGATGGCCATAGCGTGTCATTGTTTACAAATAAGCGTCTACCCATGAGCCTTTGCGTTCCTAGCGTGTGTTGTTATCATCGCTTGGGACCCAATTCCCGCGGGTGCGCAGATGACGACCCTCCCGCTTTAAATTGTTGAAAAGTATGAGGTAGATCATTATTTTTTTGAAAGGTGGGAGCAAGAATTTACGACCAGATTGTTTCTTCATGACCCTGATTTTAATTTTTCTCAAGAAGATGATTTCAAGGTAGGTTAGCAACTTGAACCCCTTCCAGAAAAATAATGTCCACCCCTTAATTGTTCTAATGTGCACTACCTATATTGCTTCTTCGTTTTGTACTCTGGTGATGATTGATCACGTGACAGTTCTGATGTCACAATAGTATATATATGATACATCCCTGCCTTAATACCATGACTGGTGTACAAATACAAGTTCCACATTTTTGACAGCTTATAAAAACTGACACTAAATATTTTTTTTTTCATTTTTACAAATTGTTGTTTACGGATCTGCTCTATATAAAAGTATTAAGTGAAACCTCGTTAAACAAATTACACGTTCCTCTGCATTCTGTATGACCTTGACCCACCTTATTGTCAATCGGTAATTATAAACCGACATGACTGACAAGGAGGAGTAGAGTGCTCTTGAACTTGTACCCGAGTATATATTTAAATCCAGTGCAGAAAATAATAACACTATTATGCAGGGGCGGATGTTCAGTTAGAAGGAGGAGGAGGGCTTTAAAATGACGTCATCGACGCAGTGCATTCTGGGATATATGGGTACGAGTAAAGACGACACGGTATTTTCGAGGAGGAGGGAGGGGGCAACCCCTGCACCCTCTCTAAATACGTCATTACCATTCAACGCCTTAATGGCATCATATTATTTAAATCCCTCGGTGTTTTTGAATAATGTTTATAAGAAAAATAATCTATCGTCATTTATAAAAATTATTTTGTGTCGTAATATCGGCAATAACATCTTAACTGTGTTACTCACCATATTTTAAAAATACAAAACTTATAAAATTTATATAAATATATACTTGCCAAAATAAATAAAAAAACGAACCATTTTAAGTGTTGTGGTATTTAAAAAAAAAACGATCCAACCTTTGTTCGAAAATATTTCCCAAATGATTTATCTTTGAATATATCGCCAAAACTTGAACAGCACGTAGTGCGTAGCCATGGCAACATGTGTGGTCTTTTATATTTGCCCATATGCCTTGTGTGAAAAAATGTATTTGCTCTCAATTGCCCCTAATTGTTCAGCCTCCCTGCTCACCCCAGCGCGCTCTTGTGTCTCTCCCTCCCTACTCCGTCTTTCGTTCTCTCGCTGTTCGGCCTCCCGTCTTTTTCTCTCGTTCTCCAATTGTTCAGCCTCCAGGCTCTTTCGCTCGTTCTCTTGCTGTTCCACTTCCATGCTTTTCCTTTCATACTCTTGCTGTTCTGCGTCTCGGTGTCTTCTCCGGTGATCACGACGCTTTGATAAGTAGAACAACACGAATGCGGCGATTGCGCATACGGGGACAACAACTCCAAACGTGACACCAATTATCATTTCCAGTCTCGCTTTACCTGTCGACGCACAAGTATAGAACACATGAGTATGTCGATTTCTCTTAGAGTAAACACATGCACAGGCAATGAGCTTAAAGGGAGGTAGTCGTCGCTCCACACATGCGCGAGATATATGGGTCTCATATAAACAAAGATGGCGACTTTGACTGTTACGCAGATCAACGAATACAAACTGAGATGTTATCAACCTGTAATTAGGTATTTGTAGGTGATTGGAAGGTATCGAAAGAGTCGCCGGCGGTAATTAGTGCAAGTCGCGCCCAGGGCAAACCTCATACTTGTGATTTCTATTAGAAGAGCGCATTGGATTGTGGGAAAATCAATGTTTATCAACACAAATGTCGCACATGCGCAGCGCGACGACCACCACCCTTTAATAGTAAATGTAACGTTATAATTATCTCATTCATTACACTGATTCACCAAGACAACATACATTCAGCAATGGACATTCACCACTGTATCACATTTCGTCAGACCCAACAAGTGAGATAGAAACAAGAGATAACAATATTTGGGAGAAAATATATCAATATCTAAGCAGGTGACCATATTTTCAGAATTCATACATATGCATGTAAAGTGGGTCCATCAAGGGATATAACATAATCAATTCATAGATTCATAGATTAGAAGAAATAAAATGGATTATATGGCTCACAGCAGTAAACATGAGAACCCGCAGGTGTACTGCATACATTGATAGCCTGTCAACACGGACTGGGCAGTATGTACCTCACATGATGCGTGGGCAGGTCAGTGTCTCGCATTGGCACATGGCACCGTGTCACCTGTGACCGTGCCATTAGGACCGGTGGAAGTGTTAAACTAATTTTGAGTAACATTTATTGATTAAATTTACACGACCCATATGGGTCATATTTCTGAACATTGTCAAATCAGGTCAAACGTCTTGAGTCGAGTGACACGTAGTTTCGGTACACGCGACTACCTTTCAAAAAGACACTAGATAGACACAAATTTCGTACTTGGCTTGAATATGCACTTTGTCATGTTTTCTGACATTTGACCGTCTCCAAGAGTCACGTGAAAGTGTGTATCCGTCATCCCTTGAATATAGTTCTACAATGACCACCTATCTAGTCTTGATTTCAATTCTGACTAAGTTGTAGTTTTGTACATGTATTAACACACGAGTTTAACCCCCGTTTCAGCGTGAGCCACTCGTTTAAATTTTTTTCTAACCACAGATCCAGGAAAATAATAATATTCTCCATTCTTTGCACTCGCTCTGATACATAGACGGATATGTTGCCATAGTTACTTCCTCTATTACTAAAGATGGAGTAAGGATGTTAGAATAGGTAGACTGTCTTGTTTTGAGGTTGGAGGAGAATTGAGACATGGAAATTGAGAATTGAGTTTGAAAATAATCATTTATTTCTACCCAATAGATACACAATTACAATTGCTTAACTGTAATTGCAAATCCAGGATTGTTTACCTCCAGGGCGTTTTTGAAGAAGTAAGCACTTCGTTTTATTTTTTTCGTTTCAATGGGTAGTATAAGAATTCACCGCTTGGACGATGACGGAGTGACTTGCTTGAAGCCGCTCTCGTACCTTATGCCGTTATATAGGCTATGGTGCTCCACAATGTGTGTACAATTCCACAAAAAGCTCATTAATCTCTATTATTATGCCAGGCGACGTGAGTTACATACCCAATCGTTGCGTCATTGACTGTTTATCAATAACAGAAAGTAGAGCAGATTAAAAATAACATGTTATTTTAGAACCTCCCAAAAAACCCTTAAAATAGTTGTCAGATGCTTTATACAGCATCGTAAAATATTTCATTCAAAACGCACGAAATACCCTTTGCCCCCTGTTATCTACGACATTAATCTTCTGCTGAGGCCTTTGACCGGGCAGGAAATGAGGTTAGTAAGCCAACGTGGGCAGAGTTTTAGTTTAATACGCACATATTCTTTATATGTTGTGTTTCGAGATTAGATCCTGTGTTATTTCTACAGGCATATCTCATCGTAGTATCGCTCACTCTTATAGAATAATATACGACTTCTATGACCTCTAAAGGTCACACATCCTGGTACTAATGTTGGTATGGAAATCGAAATTAATTCATTTTATAGATATTTCAGCACTTGACTATTTATTTTATCTACTTAAGTAAAATGTTTTTGTTAGGAAAAAAAAATAACACATTAAAAGTTACCCAAATTGTGTTTGTCTGACCTTTAGGGTCACGAAAGTGGCCTATTATGCGACACTGTTTTGTGTGTAGGGGAGGTACTCCAGAAACTGAAAGATAAACGCGCAGTATTTTACGATTTACTGTGTTGTTGAATTCATAATTAGCCTCAAAGCATGGATACTGATTGTTAACAAATGAAAAATAATACTGGCATTCTTTAAAATACACCCTTAACCTAAAGGGTGGTGGTCGTCGCGCCGCGCAAGTGTGTTGATAAACATTGATTTCCCCCACAATCCAATGCGCTCATCTAATGAAATCACGAGTACGAGTTTTGACTTGGGCGCGACTCGCACTAATTACCGCCGGTGACTCTACCGATGCCTTCCAATCACCATTACCTAATTACCATTCGTAACGTCTCAGTTTGTAGTCGTTGGTCTGCGTAACAGTGGCAAAGTCGACATATTTGTTCATATGAGTTGCGCGACGGCCACTGCCCTTTAAAGTTCGAAATGATGCGACCAAATGAAAGGAACACACTCGTACTCCTAGCGTACATGCCTAGAAAGAAATGAGCAAGTCAATCGCTATTGACGATTTCAACCTCAGTGAAAACACGTCAGATAAATAAAACGCAAGAAGAGTCTTTAAATTTCACTCTAACATGAAAATAATATTAATACAAATATCATGCCGAGTAATGGGAATTTATAACAGAGATCCCACTGACATAATATAACGATCGGCTTATTAAATGAAAGTGCCAACAAAGATAAATTCCGAACGACTGATTTCGTAACAGTTTCATCAGGAAACGTGACGAGTCCAACAATATAACTGACTGTTCTGTACCATTCATGGCTTTCATGCGTTTCTCACTTTGAAAGAGGAATTTCAACAAAGAACTACGTGGGATAATAATTGTGGACACATGGTATAATGTAACAATATTACTCAGCAAGTCAGATTACCCAACATCCCACTCGCACATCCGCTAACTAGTCATTCGGCCAGTCAGTCAAAAAAATAACACTGAATGCATGACAAGCTAAATACTATATTGAATGTATGTAAACTTGTACTGTGCGTGACTCGAACTACTGGCGGATCCAGAAATTCGGTAAGGGCGCGCGCTCATATTGACGTGGTCGGAGGCCGCGTCCTTGCACCTCCGGTGGGCTGGGTTTGTCAAATTGATTTGTCAATTTTTTTTTGCGGGCTGAAGGGGGAGTGGGCGCCGCGAACCGCCGCTCACGCACGGCACTAAATCACGGATGCTTGATAGCTGAGTTTATTACCACAGAGGGCATGAAATCTCAAATCGATCGTAGCCGACCGGGACGTTGGGCAAAGGTCGTCAGATCTGCCTTTCGCGAGCGTCGATTCGAGTCACACAAGTAGTACATTTTTACTTCTATTAACTATACGTAGTATAGCGGTGCGATGATATTCCCTTGTTTTACTTCCTATGTTGGCAGCTACTATGAGTTTACAGCCAGCCAATCAGTTAGTCAGGCAGTGAGGGCAAAATCAAACTAAAAAATCCTCTTTCAAGACTGACTAAAGTTACATGACCCATCGTGGATATCTATGGAGTGCGTTAATTCAACAATCGTTCGTATATGGGCTTTCTAGTAATATTACATCCATGGCCAGTCAACACGCAAACAAAATATGTATATCCGTATGTAAATATATTGACGATGAAACAAAAACAAGCCTCAATGGTAGTTACAGTACCATCACGTGACACGTAACCTTATCAGCTACGCAGTACAAACAATATTTTATTAAAAAAAAATATAATAAAGAACAATAAAAGATTACAAAAAAAAACATTACCTAAAGGTATACAAAAAGTAGCATTGACATCTGACATATCTCCACAGTGGTCGAGACAATCAGTCGAAAGGTAAGGTACGATGCAGTGATCATTAGCACACTTGAAGTCTTTATCCTCGCATCTTCCATCCTCTGAAACATCAATCACAAACGCAACATTTATTAAAACGTGCTCGGGATAATGAAAGCACAACTCAATTCTAGGAGCAATGTTGAAGCAACTGTTAGCTTCGTATACACACAGCGTTTCAAGTTCACTGCGAGTAAGGTTCATGACAGTACTAATAATAGAACTTCTCAAGTCTTAATTAAGCACGCCTACTCTAATTAATAGCAGGAGTACTGTCTGCTAAGCATTCTTCTCCTTGAGTGTATTTACATTTTGCTTTTTGAATGCGAGCTGTACAGTAGTAGCCAATCAGAGATCGCTCTGCATCACGCCGATGTTATTCTGTGCATACATACTTTTATCCATCGCCATGTGTGTTTAATCATGATTATTTTGCATTCACGATTTGTCGGAACATACACTGCTATAGTATGTTTACTTTCTATGCTAAAAATAACTACTGTTTTTTTTAATTGTCAACCTTTAGATGACTTTAAAAAAACGCACAATGAAGAAGTTTTTATTGATGATGTATTTATCGATGGTGTATGAGAAGTGGCACTGGAAACGTCTAAGTGTGTACTCGCTGGTCAGTCAAAGTCGCCATCTTTGTTCACATGAGTCCCATATCTGGCGCATGCGTGGCGCGGCGACCACCGCACTTTAATCAAGTCGCTTTTAGACAAAATTGAATCTAAGATTTACACCAATCTCAACTATTACAGCGATATTCATATCTCCAAATCTATTACATACGGGCTATTGGTCGCTCGGATTTCACGGCTCAATTTCCAATTTGAAGTCTTAAAGGACACATGATAGGTTCAGCCAAATAGATTTGTAATTACATTACCTGCCATGTAATAAAGGGAGAATACTGCTTTGAAACCATTACTGCCTTCTGTTATGTTTTTAAGAGTTGACCTAAGTTCCAGAGACGAGGAGGCCATGAATGTTTTCTTCTCCACCCCATAGCAGGCACCTCCGAGAAGCTTATTAGCTTCGAACAGCTGCACTTTCTCAAATTGATCGGTGCACGGATCAATAATACCTGAAAATACACGAGGAATACACCGAGATTCGATCAGGGTCAGTTTGGGACATGCATTTCCATTATAGTGAGATTTATAATTATCTGGGCGAGCGAACACGAGTGTTCGACAATGTCTCCCAGGACCAGGACCAACGAAGTAAGAAAATTGATTTTTATTTTTTTGAATCATCAAAATTACGTTGTCTTTAGGTAGTGACATGAACACATACGAGTGTTCGACAATGTCTCCAAAGACCAGGACCAACGAAGTAAGAAAACTGATTTTTATTTTTTGAATCATCAAAATTACGCTGTCTTTAGGTAGTGACATGAATATGGCGTCTAATGAGTAAATGCACGGATTACTTATCTCTCTGATATGAACATGTCTACGCTTAGACTAGTATCGATGTAAGTTGGTTGATAATTTCATTAAAGGATAATGCTGTTAGCTAATGCAATAATATATCACCGTCTTAGCTTGACAATACAACGACAAAACATGCATGAGTATGTTCTACCTGATTTTCCCGCATATCATTTAATCCCATCGTCGTTTTTTTTTTTTTTACCTGAAACAACGTCCACTGCATCTATTGGGTACGGGTGAGTATCTTTCAACCAACAGTTGCCGTATTCCGTATCTCCCCTATTATTATCAAAGTCCCAAGCTTTGCAACCTTTGGTAGCCTTACATGACTGGCAACAGGATTCAGCACCTGCTGTTTTATAGTGATGCCCGTAGGTGATATCTCCACCTGGTCGACGAACACCAATCTCTATTACGCAGGTAATATCTGCGATACAAAATAGAAGAATAGGTATTACGAACGAAGAGCGCAAAGGGTGTCATTTTAAAAGATTTAAAGCGGCGGCAACATATTATCAATTGCTATTTCACCCATTCGATATGTTTTTACAAATTAACATATGTAAGATGGATCGATTTAGTATAAAATCGATCCAACAGAAAAAACACGCGAATGTTGGAATCGATCCCCGAATCACAACACTGATACTACTGATATTTAATACTTCTCTTTACCTGTTCGTTTTTCCGAAGACATTATAACATCTAAAACCGTCAGTTGTATGCGATTGAACCTCTGAAGGGGGTCGATGGTGATCGAGCAGTTTGATTTCGGAGGTGATTGCGACTTCTCGTACCCGGCATGGGAAATTATCACTCCACCGTATGACTTTGTGGCCTCGTGATCTCCACACACTGTAATGAAAATATGCAAATAAATAAATTGCGTTTGGTGAATACGACACAATGAGACACACAGTTACCTTATGATATGTTTTAATGCTCGGATAAAAATATCAATACACATCCCTTAAAACGATAACCTCTGAGAACGCGTACTTGAAATTATTGAAGTTATGCTTCGTATGGGAAGGGGATGTGCGCACTTGTTCTTGTGGTTAATGCGACCACGTTCAAGGGTATGGTGGTTCTGCAGTGTTGTGATTTAAGTAAACCCGATTTTGCTATTTGTTTCTTTCGCTTGTTTTATGCGCCATGTATAAATTTTGATTTAATGAACTTAAGTGAACCATGTTAAGATCAGCCAACTTATTTGGTGTGGTCCCTCTACTGACTGAGCTAAGTGGGTGATTGGCGATGGAATCCAACAAGTGTGGTCCATGAGTATACACGTATGTATCAAGTACACCGTGGATATCCGTTTGTTCTGCTCATTTTATCGCCACACTATCGTCACAAAAACAAAAAAACAGTTACATGACATACGCATGCACGCAGTAAACAAGGTAAGAATATGTGGAGAATCCTACCGAAACTGATAACATTGAAAATAAAAAAGATTAAAACTTTAATAAACGTAGTACACATTTTTCTAAAAACAGTACGATTAATTTTGATGGGCACGTTAAATCCATATATTTATGCCTCTTTTTGTTTATGCAGATTTAAAAATTTGTATTCCATTTAAATTCATATGTTCATGGCAGAATTTGGTTCGTCGAAAAAAAACAAACTGTTAAACAAACTACCTGCTTTCTACTTGGTTTCTACAGATAACTTTACATAACTCGTGAAATGTCATTGTATAATAATTTACTTATATATAAGGTCATTGACCCATATAATCCAATATAAGGGCGGTGGTCGTCATTCAGCGTTTGCTCGGATTTCATGTAAACAATGTATTTTACACGCGTTGTGTACATCGCTATGAGTCCCATATCGAACAGGACGCGGCGCGACGACCACCGCCCTTTAATGAATACAGCGATAATAAGAAATACTAATATATTTACAGTAAGTCTGATATCTCATGCCTAAGATAAGCAGCTAATAGTTTTAAGATTACACCATCCTGTGTTTTCATTAACTGGATGAATTAGTCAACAGATGGTTGATCATAAAAGAAGCGAAGAGGGAGATTCAATGTGCAAAGCCCGTTTAAAATTGGCAAATTAAGACAACATAGAATTCGTCTTTAGTTTGGTTGGAATTGATCGAAGTGTGCGTAAGAAAATGATTTTTACAGTGAGAAATTTTCAGGTACAACTGACGTTTTAAAATCTAGAGAATTCATATGTCGTATTCATAATGCAAATATGTTTTAGATCATTCAGAGAAAAATATCCATGAATATATTAATAATACTAATTTCTTGGGAATTTCAGACTTGGTATTGATCAAATGTATTAGCAAATGCTTCATATTCGCTACACGCGTAATTTGAGCCCAGACTCTTCTTTTATACTTACGAGGATAATACTAGTCACTCGTATTTCATACAAAGTGTTTTCGCCGCAGTATAAAAAGCAAATTGAATATCTCCAACATTAATATTACATAGTTGTTCGGTAATCTGGGATATGCCAAAAATGTCTGCATTTTTTAAACTTAGTATATTTCGATTCTTTCCAGTATGTTAATATTGGTGGTACCTCTCGGATTTAGATAAATGTCCGCCATTTTGAAATTTTGAAATCATTCATTCATTCTCCACGTGTCACAATATACATTTATAACATTCAATGAACGTTTGAATCCAATGCCTGTGTATGAAAACATGACAACAACATCTGCAATTCGCAAATTTGTTCAAGCCCCCCTTGGTCAAATTGCAATGTAGTAAGTTGATAAATAGTTTTTTGTCAACTATTGAAAAAAGTTGACCAAGGAGCGGGGTTTGACTTTAGTGGGTAGCGCCTCTAGCGACTGAAGATTTTTGAAATCCGATGAAGGTTTTCGCCAAATATGTTCATTAGAATGATCGTTTCGTGTCTTTTCGATGTGGTATGCATCGAATTACCAATCAGCAAATGGTAGACTTTGTTTCTATAGTAACAGGGTTGTTTCATATCTCAAAATTGCGTTCGGTTACATGTAGTGAGAGTGTTATGTGTAGTTATACGATGAGTACGTATGGTTGTCACGGGTTACTAGAAAATGCTAATGAATATTAAGCCTTGTTTATGAAATAATGCTTTATCATGGATGCCTGTAATACCGTTCTAAAACATGTTCATTTTTTTTATTTCCAAAGTTTTTTTTCATACACACGAAATACATATGTATCAAATTCGAGAACTAGTCAAGGCAATTCATTGACTCGACCTTGAACAATTAATACTATATTTTCGGTGATTATAGGAGGATTGTCGTCGATTCTGCTGCTACAATACACATTATTGTTGATATATGTACAGATTACTCGGAATCAGTAAAGAAAAATCAATATATTGTTATAATAAGGAGGGACCATGCTTTCATAAAAAGGGTGATTCCAGTGTCCATTTACTATATATGCCCGGAAATCCCCGGCTACTGAATTTAATTACTACTGCATAGACATGACGGTGCCTCTCGACAGTAGATAATGCAGTACTAGTCAGTTTAGTAAACGCAAGTATTAAATTAGTATTTCCAGTACGAAGAATGTCGCTTCATTGTGTTCTAATTTATCTTTTCATTTTCTAAATCTGACAAGTTAGGCCGATTTGTAGGAATTTGAATCGATGTTTTGCGACAGTGTCTGTTTACATTTATTGAGAATAATACGATTGTATGCACGGCATTGGAAAATACGTAGTTTTCAGATTCATAAATTGGCCTGATCGTATGGAAAATACGTAGTTTTCAGATTCATAAATTGGCCTGATCGTATTATTTAAGCCCCGTTTTATTTGCATAAAAAATCTCAAAGAATAATTGAAAATAATTCGTTTTTAGAAAATGATAGCAGTCGAATAAGAACACGACCCAGTCATACATACCGTAGTATTCCTTCCTTGTTGCATCGTAACTTCCGTCATCAGGAACTCTCTCAACAAATGCTTTGAATCCCGTTTTTTCTTCCGATCCGTCTGTTAAAAAGTTCATTGTCATTCTGTTGCCGCTTGTTACGATGTTATCGGGCGCTTTTTGCCCACAGTAAACACCTAAATCAAAAGAATATTGATCGCCATCTTTGATGAAAAGTCCGTCGTTCTGACAATTAGGAGAGTCTTCGATATCGAACTCCTCAAATTGAAGCTGCAAATAAAAATCCAGATATTTTAATTAAAAAATAATAAAATATCTTTAATTGATATATCGACCTACATAATCGATACACATCGCGAATTGTCCTAGTGACGCAGATCCATCTTATGAAAGAGCGTTAATGGCAACTGTCAAACTCAGCTTCCCGAAGTTTGAACTTTCACAGTATATCCTGGATTAATTTCATTCACTCACATACCAGCTTTTATTTGACCTAATCCGGCAGTGATTGCATTTACCGTAGTTGCTTTCAGTCTACAATTGCACAAATGCTAATCAGATTAGTAAACGATCCACCCACGAACACTCCGCCAGTTAATGCTAAAAGTGTGCCTTTTGGATAAAAGACCGCAAAGAGACGAACATCTTTATTTATCACAAAAAGCAATGAACACTGACAGTTTGGTTTGAGCTCCCAACAATTTAAATTCAAATATCAGGGTGACACAACGCGACATTCATCGGGATCTTGCTTGATTATTTAGATTTTCTCCAACTGTCACAAATACGTTTTATCACCAGGATTTCTAGCATATATTCCTGAGATTTACTATATGTAAATTTCTCGTCAAGTAATACGATATTGCGTCTATGTTAATAATTAGTGTTCATGCATATATTTACTTAGTTAATGCATGCACATAAGCAGTTCATGTGCATACCTAATTATTTAATATACATGTACATACATAATTTATTCTTACTGTGCATACGTAATTAGTTATTGTGCATACGTAATTAGTTATTGTGCATACGTAAATAATTATTGCAAATATGTGATTAATCAGCATGTATACGTAGTGTTGTACAATTAGTGTTTGTGCATACGTAATTAATGATTGTACATAAGTAGTTAACAATTCCGAGTCTGCATACGTATTTAGTTTTGTGTATGCGCAAATAATTATTGTGGATAAGTTACCGAGATTGTTAGTGTGTATACGTATTTAGTTAATGGGCATAGGTGATTAAATACTGTGCCACACGTAATTTGTCAATGTGCACACGTAATTAGTTAATGTGCATACGTAACTAGTTATTATTCTGCCCAATAAACACAATCTGTTTCGTAGACCAAGATAGGAGAACATATTTTGATGGATCGCTGAAATAAATAGCTTAATAATATTTATAATTCGATGCACCATACCATTATAAGGTATCCTTCATCGGTGTATATGTTATAGTTGCACTGATCGTAGATGTTGTATTCTGCCGGGTGGTTTGGCGAGACGATCGTCAGGCTTTCATCGCTGACATAAGTGGGCCCTTCGTCACAGATCACTGCAATGATTAAACAAATACAATGCATCGGAAGAAGTGTCTCACCGAAGTAATCATTTGGAAGTTTCAATTAATAGACATGGGACTAGAAGGCCACGGTTGGGTTAGCCTAGCATGATTGATTTTTACACGTCCCCCCCCCCGCACAAAACGGGACTAAATAAAAACTCATACTCACACGCACGCACACATACATACTGCAAACTCAATTCGACCCGATTTGTAATAGTACGCTGCTATTACCAGAGCTTTTCACTACCCCTGAAGGATATGATGTACTTTGTTTAACTGTTTTTCCATATACAATTATGCTAAAATAAAAAAAAAGTGGATTATCTTACCGACGCCTTCATTGTCGGTGGTGGTTCTTTCTACTACAAAGGAAATGGAGAAATAAAGCTATTGTTAGGCAGTCACTCGTAAAAAAAATCTTTCTGGTAAGTCGCGCCCTCTGGCGATGGAGATTTTCTGTGACGTAATTAGGTCATAGAAAGGCCTTCCACATCGTCGATATTGTTGAAAATAATATTTGTGGGAGATTTACTATACTTGTAATTTAAATTCCGAACGAACGCACACCCAAAGACATTTTGACGTCACCGAGCGTCACGTCTCACCAGGAAAAAAATGTATTACGCGATTCAATGAAAGAAATCATATATCAAATAAACTTTCATTACATTAACATTGTAAAAATATTTGGTATGAGGTAAATCATCATTATATTGAAGAGATTTTGTAGCAAAACTTGGATTTGAATTGGATTTGCGTCGTGACATTCTATGTGTCGTCCAATCCGTTATATATTTATCATGTCATCGAGCTCTTCATTTGAAAACAAAAATTGTTTGGCGTGGTGATTTAGACTCAACTTGAAAATTATTCATCTCACCTGTTACTTCTATTCCGGCAGCTCGGGTGACACCAATTTCTACTAAAAAAGTAAACAGATAGAAACACTGAAGATCGCAATCTGAATACGCGGATGAATACATCATTCTGAGGTGTAAAATTACATGTGATTATTTTTATATGAAAGCTGCAACAGGAACATGCATTGAGAAATTGTAAAAAAAAAAACGATGAACACATCAGCACATCATGGATAGAAAAAATAGCTCTATCCTCGGGAGCGGAGCTACGTCACGGACGTTCTACGTTGCTAAGACGCGCACCACTGTACCACGTATTTCTATGGGCTTTGTGCGCGCTGCTGTGGAACGCCTGTGGAGCCGGTGAAAATTCGAGAAAACAACACAAACTCAACTTTGAAGTAATCCTGAACAACCAAATTCATATATGTTACACACGTAGGGCTAATCTTGTTACACTGTTCAGGGCACTCTCAACAACCATCGCAAAGTACCGTTTTCTGTGAGTTTTTGGTCTTTGTTTTCACCGCGAAGGTTGCCAGGCGGTAGAAAATGCCCGGATGTTCGCCCCCGAGGATTGGTAGATACTGTAAAAGCATTGTTACAGTGATGCTTTGGGTAATTTTGCTGGGATTTAATTTCACTAACTTGGCAGGGAAACAATGACTGTTTTAGCTCTATTGTTAGATAGTGTAAAACGATTTATTTAATTTAGTGGATTTTATTTATCAGCGAAAAATTGTGAAATTAAAACCCAGTGAATAATCAATGCATTTACAGTACATAAACAGACTTTAACATACAAGGTCAACAGCCTTGAATAGTCCTTATGGAATATATAATGTAATCATGTTTCTAATCGTATTGTATTTCTTCTTATACCCCTTGTTATTATTATAATAATTGTTAAAACGTGCAGGAGGGAGATTGCGCGTAGTGTTATCTACTCGTTGCTATGGAGAAATGCATTCAAGATGGCGCTGGTTGCTAATTGCCTACTCTTTTTTAAAGGGGTAAATATTGAATTTCATTGTACATTAAGTTTTGTTACGTATTTTGCGCGTTTCGACATATCCGAGTATGGTATATAGTGTATATGTTGAGATAAGCTTATAATGAAAGAGGAGTGTTATCTCGACTTGGAATCGGTTGACAATGTGTTTTTCGGGTCGCTAAAATGTATGTCCACCTCTCAGGCTTTTGGAGCATTTGTATAATATCATTCTGTGTTCATCTCACACTACACGTCAGTCATTTTAGAACACACACTGACATCACGGATTTGAACGGAAATTTGAAGAAAAAAAACCATGGAAATATCTTTTAGTATTCCTCTCATCTCGTTACAGTAATAAACGACGTCTCTGCTAAAATTGATATTCAAATCTTCAGTTACATCGGCATTTATCTCTTATTTAATTGTTTCCTGAAAGGAGATCGAATAAAACGCAGTACAATTGGGTAACTATGGCGTACGCCCTGTGTGGTGAGAAATAACACGTTGTTCGTGACCCGGAACCCACATAAAAATCAATAAAAATGTATTCTATCACCATAGCAACTAAATCTAAATAGTTGATCCTGTTTGTCAGGAGAATTTCACATTTAGCATGCCTAAAGCCTGTTCACATTTGTTTTTTGTTGTTGAATGAACAAGATTAAAATGTGGTTCGCATTCACACAGTCAAAACGTCATTCTTTAGGCCGGCCTAAACCCTGGCCTTCTCTTTTCTTCGGAATGCAGATTTCTGATGTGTCGGACGCGGCGGACCCCAACGTGTTGTTTCTCTCCACCGATTTTTCTGTATTTATTCTTTCAGTTTGGTTTCCCTTCCATATAACAATCGGTGATTTTGTTTCCTCGGCAGTCCAATTGGCTGCTCACTCATTCATCGTCGCGATTTTTGCGATTGTGAAAAGGTTTTTGTGACTGTGCAACAAAGGCCACGAACGTAATTTAGTAAAGAACTGATAGTGGCGATTACGCAATCAGATGCGTTTTACTGTAGTTAGGCCGGCATAACTTGGGGATTAAAATTAGGGCCGGTTCTGGCACCTCTTCCCTGGCATGACTCACTCAAGTATTTACGTTCGTGTTCACATACGAAATTTTGACAAGCCTAAAATTGTTGAAAAAATAAGGCCTGTCTTATTTTCCAATGTGAAACCACCTCATGCTCACTCAAATATATATAATATCGGCCACACATAACAAATACGACGTACATTTCCTAGACTGAATCGATTTGTCCATCTCTACTGAAGGCTTCATTCCTAACTTTGGACATGACGCATGGAACTTTTGCGGTGTTTGCATTACATTTCACAGTAAACATTTGAAATGTATCTAGTATCCAGTTTCCGCCCTGGTCAGAATAAACAAATTCCACATATTATACTGGTAGTGGGGTTTTGAGAAAAAAAACCACATTGCATCCGGGTTGCTAGTGTGATTTTGCTAAAGTTTAATTTTCAATTGGTGAATTCTCGTTCACTGCGAGATTTCACGTAATGCGTGAAAAGGCGCGAACCTATCGTCTGCGACAAAAATCGAAAATTTGATTTTGAACTTGTTTGCAGCTGTTTCATGGTTCAATGTCGAAATGCAGATCTTTTAGAGGAATTTGTAGTGTAGAAACATTCTTACCTCAGCGTTAAAATAATCAAAAATACAGTTTCTCGTTTTTCGAATCCTACGAGATGTGTTATGTCACTACGACGCTATGACCTTTGTTCGTCCTGTTTTTACGGTCGATTTCACGCATAACGCGAGATCTCGCAATGGGCGGAAAATGGTTTATTGATGGTTACGTTACCAGTGTTTTTATTTTCCCAAAACTTTGGGCAAATGTCTATATGATAGGAACAATAGTTTGATTATCGTGATTTATTTATGATTTCATTAAAGGGACGCCATGCATATAGCTCTCATATGAACAAAGATGGCGACTTCGACTGTTTCACAGACCAACGCAGTACAAACGTTACCAAGCTTTAACTAGATAATTTCTTTGGTGGTTGGAAGGTAACAAAGAAGTCGCCGGTGGTAATTAGTGAACGTTGCACCCGGGTCAAAACTCGTACTCACGATTTCCTTTAGAAAAGCGCATTGGATTATGGGAAATTCATTGTTTATCAACACAAATGTCGCGCGTGCGCGGCGCGACGACCACCGCCCTTTACATCATACCATATTGCTGTTATCAAGACATGTTTACAGAAAAAAATATTACCCAATTATGATCAAAGCTATCCACGTTGCCTCTTTACTTTCAATGTCACGTGACACACATATTATATTCAGATAGGGCAGGTAAATACTTCACTAAACGACAACGTCAATCTCGCAATTCTCGAGTAGGTAACGTGACCTTTAACCGTATTTACAAGTGGAGGCGCTCATCAATTATGATACAAGTTCACACAAACTGAATCAAGAACACTCCCATCGAAATACTTAGTGCATAAATAAGTTTCCAGATCGTAGGCTTGTCTGGCTAGGCTATAGACCGGTTGAGGTAAAATTTATTGCACCAAAAAATCTCTGGAGAAAAATGTCGTCTGCTCATTCATGTATTGAAATACACACTCTCTGTTGAAACAGATATTTGCATTTGCAGCGGAAAACCATTGCACCCGTGATTGCCCACACACAGTCTACTCTCGAGTATCTATATGTATTATGATATTATGAGGCAGACAACTACTTTAAACATTTAACGTACGTCCGACGATCAAAACCTCTGTTTTATATTTTAGTATAGGCACGTATTTGCTCATCTGGGGCTTCTGAACCCTAGTTTCCAAGGGCACAAAGCACGTCTAGTGGGGTAATCGCGTGCTCTTGTGGAGACGGTATTAACCCCGATTAGACAGGGAAGTGAGTTATTCAAAAAATAAAAGTGGTGTCATGTTGGTTATTTTTCACATTAATGGTGCTTCACAGTGCCATATCGCGCATAACGTGAGATAAAATTACGCGGCTTCCGTGAAAATCCCTTAGGGAAACCCGGTGTTTTGATTTTATCTATCTCGCATGCACTGGTAAAAAAAATTTTAATCAGTTACACACGTACTCCGAGAATCGAGACTAGTCCCGGGATTATGTTTATTTTTAGATCTAAGAAACGATGCTACATTTTTGTCAATATATACGGGATTTTTTTTCAAATCGTTTTTCGTCATAAAACTTTTGAATTCATGTTCAAGTTGGTCAATGTAATATGACGTAATCAAGCTATGGTGCCATAAACACCGTGACACTGATTAACGGGCGCGTGGTCGCGCAGCGCAGTGTTTGATACAGGTTCTACGTAACGCACACAGCGAACAGGCGCTGCACGGCAACCTTCTCTAGCAAGAATGATTTTGTAGTGATCCTCAGTCAAATAAGAATCAAGTTGAGTTAGGTTGACTGTTGGGAAAGTCGGTCTTCAATAAAAAAATTTAAATTGTGTGTGACTGCATAGGTCAAAGATGTTCTGACCCAGGATTTCCTTCGTTTTCACACTTAATTCGTTTATAAATTGTGAATTTCATTTTTCCAAATTACAAATGCCACGACTATAGTAAGTTGTTTTCAAGATCACTATATGAATGTTCTGTTGTGTCAATGGCGCGCCATAGAATTAGCATAACTCGTAGCCAATCGTCGTTGTCAATGGCGCGACATGTCGGCTTAGAGAGACCATAGCTGGATACATTCTTTTACTGGGATGAAATGAATACATCTAAGAGAACTGAGGATTTTTTTTTTCATTTGCAGTTATCGATATAGTATATCCATCAGTGTAACCATCTGACTCCTAGTCTGACCTATGTACTGATTGGTTACCAAAGGCCATAAAAAAGGATATTACTCAAAAGACTGCGAGTGAAACCATTCACCCAGGAGACAACGAAATGTCTTATTCATGTCAGACTTAGTGCAAAATGCTGTACATAAATTTCCTATTTATATGCATGTCTTGACTAAGTCGTCCACTTTGTAGGCACGGGTCATGTAATGTAATGTAACTATAAGACAGTCTCCCCTGAAGACAAATGCGAGGGATGAACCATTAGACACAAAAAAAACAGAGAAAAGTGATCATCATGGCGTGATAAGTACCATCTGTAAATATGCC